CACTTGCCTTGATAAAGTCGAATGACGAAACATTTTGGCAAAAACTAAGAACTATTTTCCGATTGTCTATTTTATTCAATTTGTCTTTTCTACAAAATTATTCTGAGAAATTTAACATATAATATAATGATGTCAAGTTAAAGGAAAGTTCAAAAGACTTCACTTGACTATTTTTTTTTTCTGGAGTACTTTACAAAACTCTGCTTACTAGGGGAGCAGATTTTTGTAAAGTGCTTCACAAAAAAAAAAAAAAATATGTGGTCATAAAATTCGAGTTATTTATGTTGTAAAATATATACATGTGTCTGTGTGTGTATTTTCAAGAATCTGGAAAGATGTGTGTTCAAAAGTACTATCAAACTTTGTTTGATTAGGAGGTCCTACATGGCTGAGAGGTAAATGCGCATCAGATCTAATGATGGTTTCCCCAAGGGGAAGCAGGTTTGAATCCTATCGGAGGACATATATTTTTTCTAACAAGATTTCTTCAATATTCAGGCCAGTGAGGGAAATAAATAAAAACAAAGCATCTACCTAAATATGAGTATTTATCAAAAATAACGTTTAAACAAATTTTATATATATATATATATATATATATTATATATATATATATATATATATATATCCACACTCGTATATAAAATGATGAAACTTATATAATGCAAAAAAATCAAAAAAATCTGAATTTATAATTAGAAGTAGAGACATATAAATAAAAATAAAGATGCTATATTTATAGTTTAAAATGCTCACTATATCATATGTAAATATAAAATTGGACATTGAGGTCAACACCCAACATTGACAGTCAGTTTAAATGTCATCGTCAGGCCATATGATTGTGTTTAAGACTGTTGCTGCTAGGCATTGACCTCGATTTACACTTTTATATTTACATACAATATATTTAGCACTTTAAACTATAAATATAACATATATAAGTCTTACTTTGAATGTCAGTTTCATCATTTTACACACAAGCATATACAAAAAACACATTTACAGACAAGCATACATACATATTTACACACAAATATATGTGTGCAAACACATATTTAAGAAAATTCTTATATTTGCTCATAAGGTTAGATTTTGATATGTGGATTGGGCTATGGTCAAGGACTTTTCAAGACCTCTCTCATATTCGAGTATATTTTTTTTTTTTTTGTAATCAGATCCTTACCAAAAAGTTTATTTCATGTACACATGTAAAATCTGTCAACAACACCACAACTTTATTAAGGTTATTTGGGTGGGAGTAGCAGACCTTTACTCTAAAGCTAATTTAATGCACACCTCTAAAGACCATTACTTTATCTATCTTTATATTATATATATATATATACACACACACACACACAAAGTACAATTCAGGCGTAGATTTTGTTTCAGGCGTTATAATGATGGATATACGGATACTGAGACTTAAAAGTCACTGAATTTGGAAATTGGAAAGGAATGAAACAATACTTGTACCAAATGACCAGAATTGGTTTGTATGTTTTTAATGGTGATTTGTTGCTTGAAATAAAGCTCAGAAGTAGTTGCACTTCCATTGTCAATGAGGAAACAAAGGAAAAAACTTGACATTTAGCACGAGAAAACTTTCAGGCTAGATTAAATCATTAAAAAAAAAAAAAACTCATGAAGAGCATTACATAAACTTTAAGAAACATTGAGAAATTTCTATGATGAGAGAAAAAAAATAGAAAAATACTAAAAAGTTCTTGGTTAACTATTTCAAAAGAAATAAGCCCTGAAATTTGAACATATTTTGGGATGTTGTACACACACACACACATACATACATACATACACATAAGCGCGCACACACACACTTATACACATGCTCACATACACGTATAGACACACACACACACATCTAAACATATATGCACATGCACATACATGTATACATATGCACACAAATACATACATGTATATACATACATATGCATGTATGCACACACTAAAATTTCACCTAATATAAGGTTTGAGAGCAATTTAAAGTAGTGGGTAACAGTTAATAAAATGATGACGATGATATGGGCGTGTGTGTGACTCATTATCATATAGGATTGATTGAAAAAAAAAAAAAAAAAAAAGGAAGTCCTGAATTGATAACAAAATTTCACTGTTTCTTAGTACTTTGCTTTTAGAAGGAATCTTTTACTATTCCAATATGGTGACTGTCATTTTCATGTTTCTATCTTCAGACCAAGAAGATTGCATCGATATATTATACGAACAGGTGATGGAAAGTTTTTGGACTTACACATTTCCAAGAATCTGACCAAATGGCTAAATATCAGAAAGTTCTTTTCGAATTCTTTTTTCGTCAAAGAACTTTTCAGTATCCACTTTTTTCAATTTTCCTTTTGTTCAATTAGAGTCATTTGAGAAAGGTTAGATTATAAGTTTTCCAGAGTCTGGATAATCTTTTCAGAGAATAGCTTAACATGTTGGATGTGATGTATCAGTGGTGCGTCACTATTGGCCACAACGATCAGATGAACATTCCTACACTTGTAAACCATGAACAGCAATACAGTGCAGACATTTACTAAGAACAACACATTGTCAAGGCAGCAGTGGCAGACTGTACACCATCTACTGGATAAATATGGTTCCAGGAATGTTAACATTGTTTAAGAATTGGTTACTTACAGCAGGATAACAAGGACGCATGTTACTATCTGGAAAAACTTTTATGCCACAACACGGTCATGCATTATAAACTATATTGACAATTACTCATCTCAAAAATGAAATATTAAATTATGAAAAGTGCTATTAACCTGCCAGGATAACCAAATATTGAAATCAACTGATTTTAAATATAAAAGTAAAAAAAAAAAAATTTCATTGATGTTCTTTAGCGTAGTAGACATAAAATATAAAAGCTGTTAAAAAATGTTAGTCATTTAGCAGGTGCAAGTTCAATTCCTGGATCAGAAACGAACAGTAACATGTGTCACAGGGACAAAATAACACGATAATCAACAGATATCCTATATCGGCCAAACAGTGGCTACCTGATGATAGCCAGAAGCTACTTGACTGCAACACTGTCTATAATAATATCTATAATAACAAGATGAGAACAATAATTTGAATACATTTAATGATAGTAAGTTCAATTCCTGGATCAGGTAGTAAAACAAAACAAAACAAAAAAAAAAAAAAAAAAAAAAAGCATTGTAGGTCACTACACAGATAATTTAAGTAATAGGAATAAAATAAAATAGAAAATTAAAAAATTAGTATCTGTTGAGATTTGAACTTGCATCAGATATCCAACTAGCATATTTAACAAGAACAAAGAAAAAGCATCAATAATCAAATACAAAATAGTAATTAACAATAATAAAATAAAATAATAAAAATACTTTTTTCTAAGAAATCGGTTAAATTAGGACTGTTGCTACTACTACAACAACAAAATGGTAAACAGAAAATAGAGAATAATTAGATAAAAATAGAAAGGTAGATAACTGGAAATTTGGCTTGCTGAATCATGTGAATGATTGCCAGAGATATTTTAAAAGATTTTGACAACATATAACATAGTGGGTTATTACACAAACTCACCAGCTATGAAAGAGTCTATGTAATTATCAAGTCCTTTCTTTGAGGTAATTTTAAAAAAAAATCATTTTCTGTGATTGCAGGGAGCAAAAGAGAATGGGAAGATTTTAGTGAGGAGAAACAACAATGAAAGAACAGGATTTAGTCAAACAGAAGATGTCAACTGGCATTGCATTTAAATTTTTGAAGATTGTAGTTAGCAGAGAAGCAAGAAACAAAAAGAGAATTCCACTGGCAAAAAAAGAAACTTTTAGAATAAAACTTACAGTTACATCTCGCTAGTTCAACAGTAAAATAGGGAGACCTAATTACCAATCTAGTAGTATGCTTAAATTCATGCAGTAGAGTCACCAAAGAAGAAAGCTTATTAGAACAATTGCTATAAAAATATTTATAGAAAAAAAAAGAGAGAGAAACCATGTCATGGCAGTGAAAACGTGACTGAAGTCAACATGCCAGGTTAGGATTGAAAGTTGTTGAGAATTTCTGAAGTTCAATAAAGGCATTCACAAAGGCTCTATCTCTTTGGTCTTAATCTCCTTTCTGCTCTTTATTAATGATTTGCCTAGGAACATTCTCAGATCATTAATAAAGATCTATGCAGATGTTAGCACAGTTTATGGGAGCACCTCCAAAAATCAAGGCTATCCAAACTGTGCAGATCTCTTTGCTGACCTCACACTCAATAAGGGCAAATTGGCTTGTCTCTTTCTCTACCTCAAAAATGAAGCAGGTATCATTCATCATAATTGATCAAACACTTCTCCAGTTACAATGAACGGTTGCACTCGCAATCAGGTTCCTTGATTTTATTGATTCATTCATTTTGTACAGTTTATCAACCCTTTGCAAATTAAAGCCAGGAAATATTTTTCAATTGTAAGAATTTTTTTTTTTTTTTTTTAAATAATAATGGTTTAGTGATACAAGTCTTACTAATTAACCCATAGCTGAGGAGAGGAAGAAGTGGGTTTATACCTAATCAGAATTTGACAAACAAACAATAATTTATTATGGATCTAAAATGCAAGATCATTTCTATATTACAATCAATATATAAACTGATCCCACACTTTTTGGCTAGAGTTGTTTCTATATATTTATATTCCAGAGAATGTCAATAAATCTCTGTCATGCCTGTGTAGCTAATCAGTATTTGATTGCTTGATTCGTTTTCTATTGTTTATCAACCCATTGCAGGTTATTTAAAGCCAGAAAATATTTTTAGACTGTAAGAATTTTTATTTTGAGAAAATAATGGTTTAGTGATACAAGTCTTACTAATTAACCCATAGCTAGGGGAGTGTATTTGCACTTAAGTGAATATAACGAACCTAAAAGGAATTAGAAAACTGCTCTCCGATTAACAATTCTGAGCCATTATCCATTACACCACCTGCACATCTAAGCTTACAGCACCTGGTATTTCCAAGCAGTCACTCATCTAGGTACTGGCCAGACTCAAAATTGCTTAACTTCAGTGAAATGATCTTATGGGTACCAGTGTTTCAGTGCAGTGTGGCTGTAAGGCACTTGTTGATTTGAACATCTTTAGGACTTAAGGTAACTCAAGACATCAAAGTGAACTTTATATATATATATTAATATTTTATATATATATATATATATATATATATATATATATATAAAATAAATAAAATGATTCAGTGCTGAAGATGCTGGAAAGAATGGCATACTCATTGTAATGCTCCAGACAGTACCAAATTTCTGCCATGCTTTATCTTTACAAGAGTTAGATTAGACCAAAACCAAAAATGAAGTACTGCTGCCATATCTGGTCTGGAGCTGCATAATCCTTACCTTCTAACCTTGATAGTTTATATGGCTTTGTGAAGGATACCCTGTGCCTCTCTACAGTTCTTTCCCCACAATGTTGCATGCCTATTATGATTTCCATGGCAAGTGTTCAGACATGTTGTATTATTTAGTTTCTCCAGTTCAAACATTTACCGCTAAGATCCATGATGTTACATCCATGGAGTTGACTCAAACTATTGTCATTCCTTCTGTATTCTAATTCTACAGAAGAAATTACACTCAGACTGCTTTTCCCTAAAAAACAATACTTTGGAACAGACTCCCACAATGTTGCTTCACTCAAAGACTACAATCTTAACCTCTTCAAGTCAAGGGTCAATCTATATGTCTTCAAAAACTTCACTTCCTACTTCCTTTTACATTTATATCACACACCTCATTCAGTAACCAGTCCTGGGTATGATGATAAACAACATCTGGCAGCAAGACCTCTGTTCAGGAGGTTTTGAACAGCATGGAACCACATCTAAATTGATCCACACTGACCTGGGGTGGTAGCACCTGTTAGGGTCCCAGCTAGGGGACCATAGTTAACCCTCAAACTGGAGTCAATACACTATGAAAGCATAAAATTTTTTTTAAAATAATTTTTTTTTGTAAAATAAATATTAACAACAATACATTTCTGTAAGGAAAAAAAAATTTCAGCAATATATTTTTGTAAAAAAAAAAAAAAAAAAAAAAAAAAATTACTACTGCTCCCAAGAAAATTAAATTTCAGCATTAAATGACCAATAAGGAATTGATATACCACTAAACAAATATACTCATAATACTCATTCACTTCTAACCTGAGTGGCTCTTGAGCCTTGTATTGGGTTAACATAACGTTAGATGAGCTCCCAGGATATAGGGATGCAAGTTCAAATCTCATTAGAGTCTATTCTTTGAACGACAAGATTTTCTTATTGCTATTTCCTAGAGACGATAAAAAAAATAAAAATAAAATTCAACTTTGTCAGTGACTAGCAAAGATTTGCAACTCACTGAGAGTCATCTTACACAGATGGCAACAGGTGGTTACCAATGAAATGACCTTTATATCAAAACTTGAAGAAATTGTAATCCTTTCCAGATGAAAATTCAATTTCTATTAAAAATGCTGAATGGAAGTCATGTTTTTTTCTTAGGCATAAATTAGCAAGTTGATTTTTTTTTTTTATTATGAACACACTAAATCAAAGAGAAAATGAAAGGTTAAAAATAAATCATTTCCAATTCTATAGGTTTGTCTGAATTTCTGGAATGAGGAATCATTATTTACACTATTTATATTCAGACTATTGTCCTCATTTTGTTATCACAACATTTCAGCTGTTCCTCAGGTGTATATTGATCTGGGTGATCCTTTATTTAATTTATGGGTGTAGACTGTTCTAGATGTATTCAGTTCTTATTTTTATTTAGTCATTGCTTGCCCATTTCCACTGAACTCATAACTAAATTCAAAAACCAATGCTTTCACCCACTAGGCCATTGTCCTGTAGGACAATTTGCTGTAGTAATCTTAAAGCCTTAAACCTCACCTGATTTGATCATGAAGAAAACTGCAGGAAATGTTCTTAAAATTATTTCTATTTACCAGAGTATAGAAGTTCTACACTCTGGTAAATTTGCATAAAAATGAACCAAGGATAAAGAAAGTCGTAGAAGAAAAGCTATCATATGCTACTGTCTGTAATGATGCTGTACGAGAAAATAACCAAATTCTTTTTATAACTTCACTATTTCAGTTTAGTACTTACTGCTAGTGGGGATATTGCTTGAGATAGTTATTCGAACTCTATATAACTATCTACTTAGAATGAAATGTTATCCTCATAATCTTCGTGTTCTACCACTCCTCTTACATTCATATCACATACCTTATTCAGTAATGCTCTACCTTGGAAGGCCCTGTAGCCTTGTAGTGATTGAACTTTAGTAAACATGAATAAATTAGTAAAAAAAAAAAAAATAAAAACAGTAAAATCACTGCCTACTGATAGAAGCAGAAAGTCCTTTAACCTGTATTCCCTTATTAATCTGGAAAATCATTTTCAAGCTGAGTGTGACTTAAGAAAAATATAATTCATAAAAAAAAATAATAAACATATATAATTTACTTTTTTTGAACTTTTTAAATAAAAATACTGTTTGGTACCTAATACAAGGTGGGGGGGGGGCATTATAAAAAAGTTAGAATTTTACTCGGTATGCAATAAATGGTATGGTTTTAATAAGTAAGGTACATCAGGCTAAACAGTGGCTTCTTCTGCCCTGAGGGATGCAGGTTCGGTTCCTGCCAAAGGGTGCAATTTTTTTTTAATAAGATTTCTCAAACATGCAGGCTGGTAGGTGAAAAAAAAAAAATTACTGTTTAATAAATAAACAGAGCACCTAATCAAATATAAGTATAAATTAAAAATAACATTTAAAGTGATACAAATCTGTCGGATTAATAAAAATACATTCTTAGAAAAAGAAAATCTTTGTTTACATTTGACTACAAAACTATGTGCCAAAAATTTTTCAATCATTCAAGCTGTAAGGTGAAAATAAAAAAATAAATAGAGCACCTACTCAAATATGAGTATCCACTAAAAATAATGTTTGAAGTGATTAATTATATATATATATATATTAATTGTATGATAAAGTGGGGAAGTTTACTTCTGGCATGTTTCATTCTTCAGGACTTCATTGATGAAATGCGCCACAATTAAATTTTCTTCACTTTGTCACCCACTTCCCCAAATATAGTTCTATATATATATATATATAAAAATTTCAAATGTTATTTTAGTGTATACCTGTATTTCTGGTATGAGAAGTTACCATTATTTAAATCATTTACATTTAGACTGTTATCACATCTTGATCATTGCACACTTGGGCATTCTTTTGGTATCTATCAATCCAGCTGATCTTTATTTAATCTACAAGGATAGAATATTCTCATTCTGTTGTCCATATTTAGGGATATCTTGTCTTGTTCTTATTTGGCACTGCTAGGGGATTTGTTTGCCCTGTTTCTACTGAGTCTAATTCTGTACTTCCTAGATTAACTGATGGTTACCTGGGTCAACAGACACCTGAAGGAGGCTGAAAGTTACAACGACCGAAATGTGATAATAACAAAAAAGCAGTTATTTTACACAACAAATATTTATTCTTCAGCTTAATCTCTTTCCTTGTCTGTGTACTTAATCCAATGACGAATATTAATCATGTTGATCAATCATTACAGAGAAAATATTTCAAATCAGAATTCTGCTCATAACTACATCTGAGGATCCCTTCCATTGTACACGCACAAACACGATTGGAAATTCAGAACTGTACTAAATGATTTTCAAATCTTTTACCTGACATTTTCACCTGCATTTTAAAAAGGAACAAACAATATGGCAGGGCACAGATAGTGAATAAAACTTGCATTTTCAATGTCAAATATGACATCGATTGACGCCTAAAGCAGACTGAATTTTGTTATTATGGGCCATAGGTTGAAGACCATTGATCATAATGCAGCCAAACTTTATGTTACCACTGCAATAATTAAGATGGAACATGTAGAGGGGGAGAGAGAAGAAGAGAGAGAGAGGGGGGGGATTCATGAATCTGAGTCTTGGTTCAGATTCACTCCAGGTAGAATTTAAAAAAAATATTTAATTGAAAATTTGAAAGAGGTTCTTTGTAAATTAAAATTTATAAATATTAAAGTAAGAAAGTGAAATGGATTTATCTATTATCTACAATAATTGGAAGAGAGAAAGGAGAGGAGAAGCGGAGACAGAGCGAAATGGGAGGAGGAGAAGGAGACAGAGCGAAAGGAAATGGGAGGAGAAGGGAGACAGAGCGAAGGAAGGGAGGAGAAGGAGACAGAGCGAGCGAGCTGGGAGGAGAAGGGAGACAGAGCGAGGGCGAAGCTGGGAGGAGAAGGGAGACAGAGCGAAGAGCGAGGAAAGGGGAGGAGAAGGAGACAGAGCGAGGAAATGGGAGGAGAAGGGAGACAGAGCGAAAGGAAATGGGAGGAGAAGGAGACAGAGAAGGGAGGGAGGAGAAGGGAGACAGAGTGAAGGGGGAGGAGAAGGAGACAGAGCGAAATAAGCTGGGAGGAGAAGCGGAGACAGAGCGAAGGAAAGCTGGGAGGAGAAGGGAGACAGAGCGAAAGGAAAGGAGGAGAAGGGAGACAGAGCGAAAGGAAAGGAGGAGAAGGAGACAGAGAAGGAAGCTGGGAGGAGAAGGGGGAGACAGAGCGAAAGGAAAGGGGGGAGAAGGGAGATAGAGCGAAAGGAAAGCTGGGAGGAGAAGGGAGACAGAGCGAGGGGGGGAGGAGAAGGGGAGACAGAGCGAAAGGAAGCTGGGAGGAGAAGCGGAGACAGAGTGAAAGGAAGCTGGGAGGAGAAGGGAGACAGAGCGAAGGAAGGAGAAGGGAGGAGAAGCGAGACAGAGCGAAAGGAAGCTGGGAGGAGAAGGGAGACAGAGCGAAGTGGACTGGGAGGAGAAGGGAGAGAGCGAAAGGAAGCTGGGAGGAGAAGGAGACAGAGCGAAAGGAAATGGGAGGAGAAGGGAGACAGAGCGAAGGAAATGGGAGGAGAAGGGAGACAGAGCGAAAGCAGGCTGGGGAGGAGAAGGAGACAGAGCGAAAGGAGCCGGGAGGAGAAGGGAGACAGAGCGAAGGAAAGGGGAGGAGAAGGGAGACAGAGCGAAGGAAGCTGGAGGAGAAGGGAGACAGAGCGAAAGGAAGCTGGGAGGAGAGCGAGACAGAGCGAAGGAAATGGGAGGAGAAGAGGAGACAGAGCGAGACAGAGCGAAAGCTGGGAGGAGAAGGGAGACAGAGCGAAAGGAAAGGGAGGAGAAGGGAGACAGAGCGAAAGGAAGGAGGGAAGGGAGACAGAGCGAGACTGGGAGGAGAAGGGAGACAGAGGAAAGCTGGGAGGAGAAGGAGACAGAGCGAAAGGAAGCTGGGAGGAGAAGGAGACAGAGCGAAGGAAAGCTGGGAGGAGAAGGGAGACAGAGCGGAAGGGGAGGAGAAGGGAGACAGAGCGAGGAAAGGAGGAGAAGGGAGACAGAGCGAAGGAAAGGGGAGGAGAAGGAGACAGAGCGAAGCAGCTGGGAGGAGAAGAGAGACAGAGAAGGAAAGCTGGGAGGAGAAGGGAGACAGAGCGGGAGGAAGGAGACAGAGAAGCGGAGACAGGAGAAGGAAGAGGAAGCGAGCCGGGAGGAGAAGTTGAGAGAGCGAGCGAGCTGGGAGGAGAAGCGGAGACAGAGCGAAGGAAGCTGGGAGGAGAAGGAGACAGAGCGAAAGGAAGCTGGGAGGAGAAGTGGAGACAGAGCGAGCGAAAGCTGGGAGGAGAAGGGAGACAGAGCGAAAGGAAGCTGGGAGGAGAAGGGAGACAGAGCGAAGAAGCTGGGAGAAGGGAGACAGAGAGAAGCAGCTGGGAGGAGAAGGGAGACAGAGCGAAGGAAAGCTGGGAGGAGAAGGAGACAGAGCGAGCGAAAGCTGGGAGGAGAAGGGAGACAGAGCGAGCGAGCTGGGAGGAGAAGGGAGACAGAGCGAAAGAGCTGGGAGGAGAAGGAGACAGAGCGAGAGCTGGGAGGAGAAGGAGACAGAGCGGAAGCTGGGAGGAGAAGGGACAGGAGAGAGAGCGAGCGGAAGGAGCTGGGAGGAGAAGCGGAGACAGAGCGAGCGAGCCGGGGAGGAGAAGCGGAGACAGAGCGAGCGAGCCGGGGAGGAGAAGCGGAGACAGAGCGAAAGCGAAATGGGAGGAGAAGGGACAGAGCGAAAGCGAAAGCTGGGAGGAGAAGCGGAGACAGAGCGAAAGGAAAGGGAGGAGAAGGAGACAGAGCGAAAGGAAGCTGGGAGGAGAAGGGAGACAGAGCGAAAGGAGCTGGGAGAAGAAGAGGAGACAGAGCGAGCAAGCCGGGGAGAAGAAGAGGAGACAGAGCTGGCGGAGGAATAGAAAAAGAGATGGGGTTGGGAAATTGTTGTGCGGGGAACAGGTGAATCACATGATATTGAGTGAGAATTAATTCATAAGAATAATTTTTAAAAGAGAAAAGACACTCGTGTTCATTTTACAAGCCATAATTAATTTTAAGGATAGTAACACCATAAATCCACTAACAGTATATGCATAGACATTTGCAGTGGATAAACAAGTTTGTATATTCCCGGGTGATTTCTAAAAGATTGGAACAGACAAAGCATAACAAATTCCAATTGGTTTTAAATGGCTTTACAGCAACATGCCTCTTTAATAGGTCAACACCAAGCAAATGAAAAATGTGTTTTTTTTTACCTTAAGAGTTGCTTTATTCTTAATGCAAGAGTTATGTCTTTCTCTTTCATCTTTTTTAGATTAATACTGCAATCCTAATTAGATTAGTGTAATTGTGACATTAAAAAAAAAAAAAATAGTAGTTAGAAAGTTTTAACAGTGAGATGCAATGAAACAATGTATTCAGATTCAATATAGTGAAGATCAATAATTCACAATAAAAATAGAGAACTGTTTAATTAATCTGGTTGTTATTTTTTTGTTTTTTTTTTAAGACATTTAATGGTATCTATAATTCATTGATTATTCCTGGTATTGTAACAGGTCACTAATCTTAAACATTTAATGGCATGAAAATACATGTGATTTGGAGGGACTACTAACTGGATAATAATTATTAAAATTCTCAGGGAAATAGGTTGAATGATGAAGAAAAAAACAAAAAAGAAACAGAGTAACAATTGTGTTTTAAACTAATCAAATAAGAACACCAGAAAGCTGGAACACGAGGGGAAGTGGAAAAATCAGGCATGGCTGACCACATATGGAGAGAGAAGGGAGATCACTGCACTCTGTGGGATCAGGTTGAAATCATAGACAAAGAACACCATTGGAAAATTCATAAACTTAAGGAATCAGCACATATGCTAGGCCACAAAAATCTCCTGAGCCGACCAAGCATAGAAATGAATACAATATGGGATCCAGTAACAAGGAGTGCCAGAGAAAAGTGATAATAACAACAAAATTTGCAATATGAGCACTGGTAAAAAATGTTTGCTGAACACATTAGGTTCATAATACCCAGAAATTCATAAACAGATGTCCTCAAGGACACATGGCACAGTGCATAAAGGCGTTAGTTAGAACCAGTGACAGGACCCAAAGAGTGTGAGTTCAATACCTGGTTAAGGCAGTGGAGAACTTTCAGAGGGGAATTAACAGGAGATAACTGATATCCATTAAACATGGCACATGGAACTAGAACAGTCTACCCCAGTGAGTGAAATAAAGGGTTCAGTTCGGCATTCCAACCACCTGAAGAAGGCTGGAGCATACAACGGGCAAGACGTAATAAATATGGTGACAAAGATGAGGACAATAGTCCATGTAAATAATGGTCAAATATGATTTTTGAACAGTTCCAAGGAGAATCAAAATCAGTATTAACTAGTCAAGATTCAGTAAAAATGAGCAAAATCAAGGTTAATAACCCTATCCACTTCCCACTGGTAAGAAGAAGCCATGATTAATGTGTTGTCTGAATTTCTTCAATCCTGAGAAATTAAATTCGAAGTTTGTTTACATTATGCTATCTGTCCAAAACGTGTGGTCTTACAGAAAATAATCATCAAAATTTTCTTTTAAACAAAGAAAGGGGCATCTGTTTTTGTTTAAGTCCCAGACTCTGAGATTTGTCAACATTATACTGTCTAAAATGTGTGTTCTTATAAATCAGTCTAGATAAAGAAGAATTTTGAATTTTGTTAATTCCCAAACTGGGGATTTGTTTAAGCTGATTGCCCAAGAACACGATTATTTTTACAGAAAGATACCAAGGGAGTTTCTAAACACAGAGCGTACCATATGGTCAATTGACAAGATCTCCTAAGATTAAGAGGTGAGGTTGAGAAATTAGATATATCCATGTCAAATTTTTTGAGGGGTGGGGAGTAACCTATATAAATGACAGCCCCACATGCCGACAGACAGTTGGAGAATAAGGCCCAACAAGGAAGGTCACCAGACATTCACTCCAGTTGCATTTATCAAGGGTGGAGCAAAAACAAACACAAACATGATAGAAGAACATGAGAGAGAGAGAGAGAGAGAGAGAGAGAGTCAACTGGCTGGTTATTACTTTAATATTTGTGACTAGATTTCCCAAATCACCATCCTACAGTAGAGAACTTGATTTTGCAGTAGATAATAGAAACGTCTTATTCAACCAGTATTTGTTTATATTCAATAAACTGTTGTTAGAATTATCGACAGTGTTGTGCATTTTGTCAAAGGAGTTCTTATTCCAGGTCGATTCAGAAGTTGCCCTGGATACAAAAAAGACAAAAATTACTATGGCCACAGACAGGAATTACACAATTTTGTCTGTGGTACACAACCTACATGGAGAGATTCACACTAAAGTCTGTTGTCAATCCCATTATCATAAGATTTAGGGAAACCCAAATCAATCCTATTGAGATGATTCACTGGCCCCCAACAAAGGAGAGTAAATAAAAGAAAAGCCAGTGTTACTCAAAGTTAGCAGAGATAGCAATGGAAGAAGTAGAAGAGGAGGCAGAGACAAGGGAGTGTGAATGGTGTGATTGAGAGAGGTGTGTGTTACAGTATTATATAAAAAAATCACATTTTGTTCAATATCTTTTCATGTCAAAAAATTTATAGGCTTAATATAACAGTGAAATGGAAATATTGCATAAAAAACAATTAACGATAAAACAACAAAACCTATTTCAAGACTAAGTTGAAACTACATGATCACTTAATAGGCAAAGGTATCTGAGTGCCTCACATGAAAGGCTTGAACAAATAAATTTGCAATATAAGAAACATAGTAAAGAAACTGATTAATTGATTTCTGATTTGTTTAACAAAATATCAACTCCTTATAGGGTCATTTAAATAAAAGGTTCATTTGGCTTGGGAAATAATTTTGTCTAAATGCAATATTTTATTTCTATAGCTTATTAAAAAAGACTACAGGAAGTAATCAGGCATTATTAATTTAAATTGATTTACCTTCCTTCCCACTACAGATGGGACAGGAAATATATAATCATTATATACTTTGATAATTGTGACTAGTGTTTCAGTTCATGTTAGTGATGTCAAATTCTGATTTGAAAAGTATATTGTTGTTGTCTTGAAATGATTCTTAGATCATGTAAGAATTCAGAGCATTCTAGCAAGGTCTTTTGAAATAAAAACAGCAAGCAGCCAAATCTGGTTTGCTGTTGTATTTCATTCCATCTGCAGATCATACATAATATTTCATATTATTTTCCATTTGATATTATTGAAAGACAAAATCTTTTTTGAGATCTGGTACATAGCCACAAGAATGGAGCACCCAGTAAGAAACAAACTCACTATTCTGTTGTAATTAAACCATATCAAAGTGCCAAGTGTGAGTGTGCATATATGTTAAAAATATACTTTTAAAGTATTCTATATTTATGAGTAACAGGTTTCAATATCAGAGATTGAGCATGTGTAAATGCAAGAGTGGACATTGAGGTCAAGACCGAGTGGCAACAGTCTGTTCCATGATTGAATGCACTCTTCAAGGCCAGGAGTTTGCTCTCAAACATGAAACAGACTGTTGCCACACAGTGCTGACATCAGTGTCCACATGTTCTATTCCTTATATAGAACACTTACCTATAAAAACTGCACTTCTTACCTCTTCCCACTTACAACCTCCTTCAGTAACCCCCTATCTTGAGTAGCTTTTGGGCTTTGTCTAGGGGAAAGATTAATTAAAAAAATATAAATAAAAAAAATTATATATTCTTCTAATTATGCCACATGTTATCGACATGCACACTTGAGAAAATGAAAATATCCTCTCCAACAGGGTTTGAATCTACAGCTCTCGCCCTTTGTAGGAGATGCTACTGTCTTATCCAGCATGCTTTAGACTACTTAGTCATGGAGAGTCTCACAGCTAAGCAAGGTTCTATTTACCTTTTTAAGGAATGCACAGACCCATATCCAGATCTTTTTCAAAATGCATATCTGCTTCATTTCAAATCCGAAATGTAAACAAAGCAATCTCACACACACAATATATATATTTTCCGTTTATAAATTATTTTAATAGATAAAGTTTATTAAAGTAAATGCTCTGTTCTTTTAATTAAACGGTATTAATTACATTTACCAGCCTGAATGTTTGGGAAATTTCATCGAAAATATGTGTTCTTCAACAGGAATCAAACCTGTGCTCATCAATTGAGCTGACATGCTATACTCCTCAGCTATAGAAAAACATTTGGTTAGCAAAGTCCAAATTACTGTTTGTTTTGGTTTTTTTTATATAAACAGAAAATAGATTAAATAATTGTCGGACTTAATCCATTTCATAATATATATATTTTTATTTATTTGTGTTCATGTGAAAAACAGGATGTATTTAACATGTGCTAAGTATAACTGAAATGAATAAAAAGAAAAGGTGATGGTTTGGCTGTTGGAGCAAATGACAAGGCTCTTTTCCCAAAGTCCTCTTTGTAATTGCACTTGTCTTTCAAATACTGGGTATATGTAATTACATACAATCAACCTAGAATTCATTGACTTCTCTGATCACTACAATCTTAACCTGCTCAAGTCTAGGGTTAACCATTACTATTCCTACATTTCTGCATAAACTGTGCCTCTTACTCTGTAACCTTTTACCTTGAGTGATTCTTGAGCTTTGTACAAGGTGATCATCATTGAAACAAAAAAAAAAAAAATTACCCAGAAGGCAGTAAAAGCTGCCAAAAATTCAGGTGAGCTATAACATCACATAAAAAGAATCTATCAGGCTGTCATTTCCCAGCCAGCATTTGTTACCCATAACAACAATTTGGCAGGTAATTTTACCTATGACATTTATCAATGTATATGTAAATGTCTTTCAGAACTTATAAGACATCTTT